ATGATAAGAAAATATGATGATGATGATGATGATAGCAAAATGACCCATTAAAAATAATGAGGATGAAGATGACGAATGAGAAAAATGAAGAAGAGGAAGACGACGATGATGATTCTCTGTCCCTTGCTTACCTGAAAAGCAGAGTGACCGATTTAAAGCTTCTATACTTATGTATATATGTACGTATGTATGTATGCATGTACGTACGTATGTATGTATGTATGTGTGTATGTATGTATGTATGTATGTATGTATGTATGTATGTATGTATGTATGTATGTATGTATATATGTATGTATGTATGTATGCATGCATCTATGTATGTATGTATGTATGTATTTATGCATGCATGCACCTATGTATGTATGTATGTATGTATGTATATATATGTATGTATGTGTATGTATGTATGTAAGCATGCATGCATGCATGCATGTATGTATGTATGTACTTATGCAAAAGTGCGTTTTTAACTGCATACATAAAGATGTAGAAACGCAACTAGGACAAGAAGTGTATCATTTTGTATATCATTTATAGCGTACATATGTACGTATAAAAACATATACATACATACAGACACTCACCCACACAGAGACACTCACACACACACACACACACAGACACTCTCACACACACACACGCACACACATACATACACATTTATACGCACGCAAACACACGCACACAAATGCACATTTCAATTCACCGACTATACGTGCATTGAAATTTTTTTCATAACCATTTTCATTGAAAAGCAGGAATCCTATGTAGACGTGTTGTTATTATCATCATCGTTTTCATCATCGTCATCATCTTCTTCCTCCTCGACTTCATCATCATCGTCATCGTCATCATTATCATCTCTTCACCATTTTCATTGTTAATATCATCATCATAATCATTCATCTCTGTCATCATCATCAGCACAATTATTTTTTCAGTGAACGACGTGTCATTTAAGAATTTTCAACATCATTTAATGGCACTGGGCTGAGTTGATGTTGAACAACCACGCAAACATTACCACACGATGTAGCCACACACACCACACAACACTAATCTCACCACACAATGTGGCCACAGACACCACACATCTCACCACACAATGTGGCCACAGACACCACACATCTCACCACACAATACAGCCACAGACACCACACACTCTCACCACACAATACAGCCACACACACCACACATCTCACTACACAATACGGCCACACACACCACACAACACAAGACCATAGCACTGTATTGGCGGTATTGTTTTGCTTTAAAATGGGATTGTATGCGTATATATTAGAGCATTTAAAAATAAAAATATATAAATTGTATTACAAACAAAAACGCGCAACCGTACATACATATATACGTACTACATACATACGTACGTACATACATACATACATACATACATACATACATACATACATACATACATACATACATACATACATACATACATACATACATACATACATACATACATACATACATACATACATACATACATACATACATACATACATACATACACATACATGTGTATTTAAGCTTAACGTCATCTCGCCGTCTAAAACATTGCTTGATGACGTAATAGAAAATAAAAAAACAATTTTGTTTTTTTATTTATTTTTAATTTAATTTTTTAAATTGAATTGTTGAGTTAATTAATTAATTACATTTAGTCTTATTAATTAATTTAGCTAGTATAATTTAAAAAAATTTATTTCACCAAAATCTCTTGACGATTAATTTCTATCGTTAATTTCATTTTAAAGTAATTCCTTCAAGTTTTTCTTGTTTAAACAAAAAATACTGAACACAACGACATCTTTTAAATACTACTACTCTTACAACAATCATTATTTTCAACACTACTACTACTGCTCCTGCTACTACAACCACCACTACTATTACTACTGGGACTGCTGCTGCTACTACTACTACTACTGCTACTACAACAACACTAACTACTACTATTATTACTACCGCTACAACAACAATAACAACAACAACTACTACTACTGCTACTGCTTCTACTAATACCGAATAGACAAACTATTTTTTAAATTTTCTAACTAGGCAAAATTAAAATATTCATTGATGGCGTTAACCCAACAATAGCAACAACAACAACAATAATAATAATAATAACAACAACAACAACAATAACAACAACAATAACTATATATAATATAATATAATAATAATAATAACAAAAGTCGCCAAATAAATTAGGTAAGAACATATAATGTTTAACGTTCTCGACATTTTCATCTGTCACTTTTATCACCATCACCATTTTCATCCCATCCCATCATGTTTATCAGCAATTCGGACGTCTTCATCATCGTCGTCATCCTCCTTGTCATTCTCTTCATCATCATCGTCATCCTCCTTGTCATTCTCTTCATCATCATCGTCATCCTCCTTGTCATTCTCTTCATCATCATCGTCATCCTCCTTGTCATTCTCTTCATCATCATCGTTGTCATCATCATCTCAACCATCATTATCTGTGACGTCATTGTTTTAAAATTTACAAATATGAAAAGGATGACATAATGTTGTAAATATTTTTTAATACAGGTTTTATATTTCATTGCGATAATTTTGAAAAATGTTATTACGCTAATTTTATAAACAGTTGTCGTATCAACAAAACAATATGACAACAACAGCAACAACTGCAACACCAACAACAACATCATCATCAACATCATCATTATCAGTAACAGCAGCATCAGCAACAACAACGACAAATTCGTCAACAAAGGATTCAACTAATGATAAAAGGCTTCTTAACGATTGCTCAGATCCAAAACTGCCTACATACCAACAACATCAACAACAACATCAACAACATCTACAACAACATCAACAACAACAAAACCAACAACAACATCAACAAATGTCATGCCATCAATTAATACAACATCAGCAAGAGCAAAATTTTTCAAAAATTTCCCAGCAACAAAACGACCAACAACA